CGTTACCCATCAACACACGATACATTAGATGGAGAGGACACATATCGATGAAGGTTGAACTGTATGGATGTACATCTGTATACAACCACATGTACGGCAATGAGTACCAACAGACTGACGGTACCCATCAAGACACGATACATTAGATGGAGAGGACACATATCGATGAAGGTTGAACTGTATGGATGTACATCTGTATACAACCACACGCACAGCAATGAGTACCAACAGACTATTATTGCAAATGAAACTTGTCAATAATGAGGCAGGTGTCACGAGCAAATGTGTGTTTTATCAAAAAAAAATAGTGTTTTCCACATTTTAATTCATTGAGAGTTTGTAATTCAAATACCAAGTTTTTGGGTGTTAAAAGTTAAAATTTGCACTTTGAAAATAAAGTATATAATATAAAACGGGTAATTTTAATGGTTTAGTGCTACATGGAATTCTTAGTTACATGCTTTACAATATTCATTATACAGCTTCTCATTAATCCCATATAGGTAAATGTCAAGGGCGGATCCAGGAGGGTGGGGGCAAGGGGGGCTGAAGCCACACCTCCCTTTAGCAGAAAAAAACGATGCTTTTTTATATTGTTTTCTGTTGTGTTGACGGAAGAAACTCAATTAGCCTCCCCTAAACTCAATTAGCCCCCCCCCCAAACTTTTGGCTGGATCCGCCCTTGAATGTCCAATTATTTTCTTAATTGGAAAGGTCTTGTTGATATGGGATTAATTAGGCAGCTATATAATTAATAGGTAATGGGGTTTCATGCTCCCCAATCAAGAAATAATTAGACTCGAAAAATTCTTTTGACTGCCAAACTGGACTCGGCCTACGGCCTCATCCAATTTTGGAAGTGGACCCTCGGAATTTTCCTCTTCTAATCATTTCTTAATTGGACAGTATGGAGTCCTATTACATATACAAACATATTGTTTGCATGTTAGACCACTGCAAAGGAATTGCTAACTGTCTCGTTTAGCCTATTGGTAGTACAGCTGGCTTGTACCAATTTTCTGTATTTWTGTATTTTAGTATATGTAATTTTGCGATGTTGGTACTAAATAAAAATTGATTGATTGACGGATGGCCAAAAACACTCAAAATTGGCATAAATTAAAATGATTAAAAAAAAAAAAAAGAAGTTCACTGCGCAGTCAAAGGGCTCGGAACAAAGAGATTACAATTGTTGGATCACCGCGTGCGACTATCACAACGAAGACAAGCTACAATCTAATTAAAAGGCCAAAGAATGAATTGGAATTGATAAGCTGATTTAAACCAAAGGAACTAGGTGATGGTGTACCAAAATAAGAGACTATTCTAACCGTTTTTTCGGAAAACGTTTAGCGTCATACATGCTTTGTGTCAAGTCCTCCAGCATACATTGTAATAAATCTAGCCTAAGCGTTATTCTTTTCTTTCTTTTCCAAAAACGTCGTTCTTGGGTTTACTTACTGAATGTAGATTTGTTAGTGAAGTCTTCCACTTCATTCATTTTCATTATGTAGAAACAAAACAAGAGTCGTCATAGTTGTAACAGTTCTAGAACCACATGAAGAAGTTGAAAACAAAAGAAGAAAAATAACAAGAATCTATTTTTGATTATTTTCAAAAGTATCTCCTTTTTAGCTGTGTATATTCTCAAGTTTGAAGATATCACAATTGAAGTAATCGTGAAGAAGATATAAAGTAATTGAGTTTCGCTTAGGGTTAAAAAATGGATATTGCTATTATTTACTGGTCTAACACTGATTAAATTAGCTAAAAGGTAAGTACTCCTATAAGGCTTTTAACTGTGTTATATCATTCTGATATAGCTTAGATAGTACGCGCGCTCTGATTGGCTGAAAACCTATGCTCTATTTGGCCGGTAAAGACATGGTTTTAGATTGACACCTTTTTTACAAAAATGTTTTCTTACTTTTCCACTATATCCTTACTTCAGGCTTCGAGAAAAAATGGAAAAAGACTTTCTACTTTTGCTTAGGATTACAAAATGGAGTGGATGAAAAAATGGAAAAAGACTTTCTACTCTTTGATGTGTCTCTTAACTTAGAAGCTGAAGCTTCAGGTTTTGCAACGATAACAAGCCTAACGAGCTAAGACGGCGAATTAACAGATCAAAAACAGTTTTCCGTGTTTGATGCTCTGATCAAAACACGCGGGATGTTGAGAGAACACGAGAGGAGCGTAGGAAACTACGACGCGTAGCGTCATAAGAACTTAGTCTCTATCGCTTTTATGACATAGCAGAAGATATTTTAAGATTATTAAATCGTTTTATCGTCTGATCAAATTTGCAATTCTCCACACTTTGGCAAATAAGCGAATCACATATATTCGTCGTACCTTTTCTCATTCACTGGAAAGACGAGTCTGACAAATTAGTTTTCACGAAAATGTCTTGAAAAAATTCACGAAAAGGATGTAAACATAAAAATTCTACAAAAAGGTTTGGAAAATCCGACTGAATATAAGAACAAGTGACATAAATAATAAAGTGTACTGTAATAGCAACTATGTTCTTGTACTAACTATCCTAACGGCTCTGTATTCTGACAGAAAATAGAATATAATATCCTGACAACTGTTGAAAACAATTTTCAAGTCTTTACTGATCATATATAAGCCATTGTTACAGTCGATGCCACATGAAGTATGTAAATGCCTGTAGCAGAACAGACTTGAAATAGCGCTGCTGAAGTGCAGCGCAAGCATGAGCTTATTGCACTGAACAGGTCTTTTCCTTTCGAGAAAAACTAGCTTGACAGAACAAGATAATTCACATGATCCCTAAGTGTATAATTGACCTGGAGAAGGCCTTGCACTGTTCATTGTTATCTACATCAGTTCTTTAAGAATACTAATTTTGAAGCATGTATGTACTATTAAATCTATACAAGTTAAAAGCTTTAAGTATATTTTCCTCGTAACAAGATCAATTGCTGCACAAGTAGAGAGAGAATATACCGATAATCAAAGTGTCTAAATACCTTATACGTAATGGACTATTTAATGCGAAAGCGTTACATTTACGATTGCAAAAACGCTACCCTTGAAATATTTGATCCACTTGATCGGTTCATGGCATTTGCGTTTCTCATTATCTCAGCTAGCTGCATTAAGACTCGATCTTTTTAGCTTATTTGCAAATGTCTTCCAAAATAATAGGCCTGAAAAACAATGAAAGCTAGTGGGAACAAAACACGGGATATCTTGTCAACAACAAGAGACTGATCTTTCTCTGTGGCTTCTTCAGCGTCCATCTTGTTCTCATTATGATCAGCGCTATTGGACGATGCTTCTTGCTCTAGATTGTTTCTGGGACTTTCCGTCATAATTTCTTGGCTTGGTGATATTTCTTGGCCATAGCAGTAGATGTCCTGCAACTCAAACTATGAAGAAACATAAGGCAAGCACAGCAGAAAACAGACTTTTATAATTTGTCTTATTGTTTTCCTATTTCAGACCACGTGTCATTCTCTTGAGAATAAGATTCTTTGTTTAAAGGTATCCATATTCATGTTGTTATGTGCATCTGTTAAACAAAGAAATGATACTCTTGGGAATGACACGCGGTCTGAAATGGAAAAATAGGGTGGCGCTTTGAGACGCACATATGATGCGCTACGTAAAGATTTCCCGCTAAACTTTGAATGCGTTTTGTACTTTACCTCCAATTTGGTGGCTTTGGTTTTCTTTTTTACTTTTTTCAATTTTCTCACGTCTGAGCGGAAGTTGTAGACCACTACATTCTCCAACAACCCCATGAAGATGAAGATGAAGGTGGCCAAAAGATATTGATCAGCTGCTTTGATGTAACTGACACAAGGCATGTTACTATTGATGTACTGGGACAAGAACACTTCTGTTAACAAGGTAGTGATGCTTAGAGCCATGCGGTCACCGATCTCGTAACGATCCATCCAGAATGGCAACCATGATACGACTGCACACAGAATGCAGGGAAAGAAAAACTGCATGATGAAGTAACCAAGGCGACGGCGAACGGTAATGGAAAATGAAAGGAAATTCCAATCCCCTTGACAGAAAAGAAACACATTGTATCACTTCTTTGGTGGCTTTAAGGTAACGTCGTGGCCGCCATATTGGATTATAACGTTATTATCCAACATGGCCGCCATGTCTTTTTGTTTGATTTTTAAATGATACAAAGATTAGAGATGCGCATGCGTACTAATAGACCTTTACTGTAAAGGTAATGTTTTCTTCCCAGTGCCTCGTCATTTAAGGTGACTTCTTATAGTTTTGAGCTTTAGAGGAATAGGAATAGGAATTATTTTATAGCAAACACAAACCTATATCTTGATAACCGTTAGGCTAGCCTTATTAAACACTATGAATTTAGGATCACTTTTTTGTGAAAATGATCACGTGAACAGTTACCATAGCAACGAGTTTGTCGTGGTCAACCCCTTTTAAGTTGTGTACTATAATAGTTAGTTTTGTTACCTATCAAATAACAGCAGTTTATTAAAATGTGGATTTTTCGAAATATAAAGTTTTCTGTATTCCCAGTATATTTTATATCGCGTCAGTTGCCTTATTATTCTACGAAGAAAAAATGTAAAAAGTTGAATGAGTTTTCTAATGTTCTAGCCAAAATCAAAATGGCTGCCTCATAAGAAAAGTCCATTAATTAGACATCCATCATCCTAATTATATATTACATCACATAACAACAGACAAGGCTGACTGTTCCTGTGATTTGCCTTAATATCTAACTGATCGAAATTTTGTCAATGTTCTGCGGGGAATGCTGCGTGATTTGTCGGTTCGAAACAACCGGGAAGCAAATCGTGTGTAGTTTGGAGCCCCATTCAAAAACCTTGAATCGACCCGATTCACAAAATCTGTGAATTTTAATAAACACACAGATTTTCTCATTTCGACCCAAATTTTCACAGAGTATATAATTCAAAACGAATGATTTGCTTCTCGATAAATTCTGGCGAAGAATCGGTCCGACAAATCGCAGCGTCTACCTATAATTTGCTTGGTTTCATTTTCACTCTTCACCACATAACCTGCCATTTCGTTGTAAACCATCGAGCCTTTCTTCCACTTCAGAGTCAGCTGCTCAGCCAAGTAGCTATCTGTAAAAGGAATCCCATTCAAGTCACATTATTAAAGTAATATGATGACACCCAATTTGTTGGGTTACTTACAGCTATAGATATCTATATTTTGTATCTGGTTATGCATTGGGTTACTTACAGCTATAGATATCTATATTTAGTATCTGGCTATCCATTGGGTTACTTACAGCTATATATATCTATATTTAGTATCTGGTTTTCCATTGGGTTACTTACAGCTATAGATATCTATATTTAGTATCTGGCTATCCATTGGGTTACTTACAGCTACTGATATCTATTTTTAGTATCTGGTTATCCATTGGGTAGTTTGCGAAATTCATTTTCGCCAAAGCAGTGACTGACATCCTACATGAAATAAACACTCTTAGTAACAAAACTTCAAATGTCAATCAGCAACAATTGTTTTGAAATACCTGTACGAATATGTTATATCTCCGTTCCCAAAGACTTCTGCTGAATAAGTAGCGGTTTCAACAGAGAGTTTTCTAGCGTTAATGATGTAGGTATCAGGTAGCCATAGCTTGTTTAGGTGTTCACCACGGAGGATGAGAAAAGAACCATTATTGTCTTTGTCAAAGGCAACGCGAGGATCCTTCCAGTATTGTGTGAAGTACACAGTGGCCCCAAACTCCTGTTACAGTGCATTTCACATTACTTTACCACGGCGGGTTCGGAAGTTCGTTCGGAAGTTCCCAAGTTGGCAACTAACTTCGGAACTTYGAGTGAACAAAGTTCAGTTAACCGTGAACTGTTTACATCTATATTTTCAAAATTTTGCTGAAATTGTATCTTAAAAAACCTCAAATGTTCCAAAACTCATATCAAAACAGGTCAATAAGGTAAATACATTGTATCGTGATAAAATCCAACTTGGAAATTAAGTTTGTAAAGTATTTCCGACGAGTTTCTGAATTCAAGATGTTATGAATTTCAAAGAGCACGCTGGAATTTCATTTTGAAGCTCCGAAGTTCGTTGCCAACTTGGAAACTTCCGAACCTACTTCCCTGTAAGTGAGTAAGGCCCAGGTCAGACGCCGTAATTCACATGAGGCGAACCTAATTGTAGTTTGGATCGACTTATGGAATTAGATCGACTGGGTTGAGTCAAACGTCGAACTTATTACGAGTATTTACAGTCGTACCAAAAACAATAATGTTTGAGTGGTCAGCGGCAAACGCATCATAATGATGGCGTCTGCCATGGCAGCTCGCCGGATATTGCTAATAAAAAAATTTTTGAATTCAAGAAGAAGACGGGCTACCATCAAAAAAGCATCATACTTTTGCAAAAAAGAAGGGTGGCACTGCTACGTGTATGCTTTGTTTCTGCTCTTCTTCTGCTTTCGCGAAATGAAACGGACGTACGTGAAAGAGCATGTAAACGCTTTGCACGTAATTTTGGTTGGTTTGAAATTGTCTGGAACAATTATTCAGATGACGGTTTAAGAAAACATTCAGGGTTTCCAGGGGAACATTCCTTTACATTACATCATCCGCCATCTTCGAAGAATGCTCAAGTGCGCATGCGCTTTAGTGATGGTTAATGAAAACGGGGCCAAAACATGCATTAACATAATTAATGCATTTGGATCGGCCCATGTGAGGTACGACGTTTGACCCGAAGTCGATCTTCAGTCGTTCTTCACGACTGACCTAATCGTGAAGAACGACTTAGTCGGTCCAAATTGAATCAGTCGAACTTAATTGGGTCAGACGTCGTACTTCACATGACCTTATTRCCCTGTATTAGGTTCGGCTCATGTGAATTACGGCGTCTGACCTGGGCCTTATGGTACTCGTTTTTTTAAAAATTCATTTATGAATTTAGGACCATACTCCCAGACATCGAGTGCTGAACCGTTATTTGATTATGATTTTAAGTTGGCAAATTATTAGTTCTACCATAGCTGGTACGATCAGATTTTATTGTTATACTTGTATGTCATTTTTAGATTAAATTTATTCAAGATCGTGAGGAGAGATGTGGGATTAGGGATATCACTCACTACGAATCAGGTATCACAGAAGAGGGATCAGGATCTTATGAATACATTCAGGATCAAGGGCCAAATATTTATGGGATCAGGGATCAAAGTTTTCTGTACATCTTTGGGATCAATCACACAAAAAACAGTCCCTCATCACGATCCTGTATGTCATTTTAAAATTAAATAAAGATTAAAATGATTTTTAAGCTCAGAATGTTTTACTGAGTTCCCTCTGTCTATATTCCATTCCATTCCGAAATTCAAAGGAAGACTGGTGCCGAATCCCCGCCGCTTGGAATTCTGGGGCGGAATTTAGGGACGCAAGATGGCAGCTTGAGAGAAAGTATGGGGAAATACAACTGATGCGTTCCGAATTGTACAAATAACTGGAGAAATTCTCCTGGGTTGAAGTTCCATGCACTTCCGGGAGATCCTAAGGTTCTTAGGGAATACAAACGGCTGATAAGAAACGATAATCTCAGAGTATCCTCGACGAGCACAAAGATATGTGGTAAACACTTTCCAGGAGGAGAGAGATGTAGTCGTACTCAGTTGCCATCGATATTCACCTGGTCTAAGACCGTACATAAACGACGTAAATTTGTCAAAAATGAAGTACCAAAGAAAAGTAAAACACCAGGGAGTTCCACTTCAACAGTTATAGAATCGACAGTAACTTCCATAAACATGGACGATCAACATATCTTCGAAGAAAGAAAGTGTTTACCACATATCTTTGTGCTTGTCGAAGATACTCTGAGATTATCGTTTCTTATCAACCGTTTGTATTCCCTAAGAACCTTAGAATATCCCAGAAGTGCATGGAACTTCAAACCAGGAGAATTTCTCCGGTTATTTGTACAATTCAGAACGCAACCGTTGTATTTCCCCATACTTTCTCTCAAGCTGTCATCTTGCGTCCCTAAATTCCGCCCCAGAATTCCAAGCGGCGTGGATTCGGCCCAGTCTTCCTTTGAATTTCGGAATGGGGACACGATCCTGTGTGTCATTTTTAAATTAAAGATTAAAATCTCTATTTCGCTTTGGTCAAGCTAGTCTCCCTCGAATCCGTTTTTAGGGGGAACTTTAGTGAACAGTTTAATTATAGAGCTCAAACAATTAATCCGTGAAACACTAATTACTAAATAGTACAAAATAGTGCTAATTAAACAATAGAAAACAATGGAATGTGCATAAAATTGTGCTACTTAGTATTACTAAAGTTTCACGGATTTACTGTGGTCACTCTAGGATCTTTTTTGAAAATCAGTCAGACTGGAGGTGATTTTGGGGCTCAGAATTTTTTACTGAGTTCCCCTTGTGTATATTCAAAAAAATAAAAAGGAATAAATAAAAAATAAATCTTGAAACTCTTATCGATCAGGGGAATAATCATTTATTTGCGATGTGCTAGTACGCATGTTCGTATGTTCGCATGGGGTTGCTATTGTCTTTTCGATTTTCCCGAACTTATCTATGCAAGCTTTCATCTTCTTAGGATACTATAAATCAAATAAATTTTAATTTGGATATTTTTGTTTATATTTTTCTTTTCTTTATTCATTTAGGACCATACTTCCAGACATCGAGTGCTGAAGCGTCGTATGGCAGCGCGAAGCATTTACGGCTACGCCGGAGATTTCGACCCCGACACCGCTATCCCTGGATTTACAGACTGATCAGGAAGCTCGGCCGAAGCCTAAGGGAGAGGTTAGTCGGCSCCTAGACCGTAGATGATTAACCCCTTGCTATGACCAGCAGACCCGATAAGTCGATTATTTCTGCCATGTCTTAACATCCATTGTCTCTCTGTTCCATGTGGGATGCCTAAAATCAAAATTGAGGTCTAATATTTTTATGTTATCTTCTGTAAAAAATTTTTTTCAAAAAATTCCAGTCAACTTTGTAAGCACTAGAGGTGTTATTTCGCTTTTTCAAATATTCAACTTTAGAAAAACAAGGGTTTTAAACATAATACCTCGTAATTCAGTGATCAAAAATGAAACAGATTGAAACATTTGATTATTTCATATGTTGTTCACAATAAGCGTAAATATCAGTGTAAAACATCAGGTGTGGAAAAAGGTCATTATATTAAGAAAATGTTTTTAAACATTTAAAATTAAAATTAAAACAAAATTAAAATTTGTTTTCAAAGCTAGTCATGCTTACCATGTTTTCTTCTGATACGTGGCTGATTGCTTGAATGCCCATTAAGATTCCTATTTCCACTGCCTTAACTGGAATGGCATTATTAAAAAAGGTGTAGAACTGTACTTAGAATGGCATTTGCCTATCAAAAAGTTAGTATTTCGTTCTTGGTCCGCAACCACATAACTTAAAACTCTTAAGCCCCGTTTACACTAGCGATTTTTGCGGCGATTTTTNAAAAAAAAAAAAAAAAAAAAAAAAAAGATTAGTTTAACCGTGACATAAAACCAAAATTGAGGGTCGGTATATTTGTCTTGTCCTTTCTAAAAGAAGACATTTCCAAAAAAAGAATCATTGAAATTTAAAAGGTTTCAAAAAAAGGTTTTGGAGACTGCATGTGTTTCTTTCGCTTTTTTTAAATTTCCAACTTTGAAAAACGAGAGTTTCTAATGTTCTTAATCGGTCAAAATGAAACAGTTGAAATGTTTGATTACTCAATATATTGGCTTCTTCGCGCATTTGGAAAATCAAAAGATTTTTTTTWAAATGACGATTTCTGGTAAATAAGCGAAAATAAATGCAAACTGGCAATCAYATAGTACAGCAACTGATATAAAAATCTGATAATCGATCCTGTTAACTAAAGGAAGAACTTATCACTTGCTAATCTAAAAACGAGATCAGAAAAACTAGTAGGAACCACCTTAAAGCCGCAGACCTTTTCAGTGGTGGCTCGGATGATCTCGATAAAGCCTGTCCTAACCCTTCTACCTTTTGATCGACATCAAGCTATCGCCTGTAAAAAGATTGGTTTACATCGTTTGTTTGATGGTAATTTCTACTTTTCCGTAGGCGTGCGAATAAGATAAAACATCTGGTGTGGAGGGAGGTAATTATTCGATCGCGAAGTGTGTAATTGCGCGCGCATGCAACCAGTTTGTTTTCAAAGTCTTACCGACACGAGTGAAAAACGTCTGCGCATGCTCTGAATCCGTATGCAAATTAGTCAAAACGTAAATTAAAAGTTTTAAAGTTTTATGCCTATTTAAAGTAAATTTGACTTTCAAACATGCCTGATAGATTGGACTTCACAAAATGCCAAAACTATGCTTGAAACTTAAGGCTAATTCTTTCATATTGTGTTTGTTAATACAGTATCTTGGTCTGACAAAAGTATACTCTCGAACTTTTTTGTATTCTTGGAGGAAACAAACATTTATTTTCTCACTCAAACTCTTCAAAATTTTTAGAAAACGTGCTGAAGTGCACGCGTGCGCAAACGTTTTTCTCTAGTGTCAGTCTTACCATGTTTTCTTCTGATATGTGGCTGATTGCTTCTATCCCCATATATATTGCTATTTCCACTGGCTTTACTGGAATGATCAAAGAAAAAAGAAAAGATGCATCATTTGTAGAATTTTGAATTTGCGTAAAAAAATGGCTTTAACAATAGCTTTATATTTTACTAATATGACGGCCATCTTGAATTCTATTTTCTATTCTGGCGGAAAAAATCGCAAGTAAAATGCCCTTCAAGCAGGTAAAAATAATCTCTTTTTTATTAGTTTGAATCCTTAAATACTAAATTTGATTCGCTTTTTGTACTTCGCCGATATTGTGATTGTATTTCTATTGTCTGTTGGGGACTTTAGAAGTTGAAAAGTTATGATAGAATACCTGAACGTTGAGGCGGAGCGAAAATTCAAGGTGCAAAATATGAAAGAAAGTTCTAGTTTTAATAGTCAAACTTTTAATTAATTTACCTTTTCTCGATGGACAATGTATTTTGGCAAGCTTTACCGTATTAAATAAGTGAAAAATCATTTTAGTACCTTTTGTTTTCAAAAAAAAATTTCATGGTTAGAGACCCATGTATGGGAGATGTGATCTCTTACATAATATTCTCTTGCCTGACATCAAAAATACATTATTAGGTGAAAGGTTTTTCAGTGCTTCACTCTAATATTAGGAGCATTCAGAAAAACTTTGGTAAATTGAATGAGCTTCTTTATGATGTTAACTATTGACTATCAGGGGAAAATTACTCCACTGGCTATTCATTCCTATTTCAACCTTCTCTACAAAGGAGCAGGTGGAGTAGGCATTTACTGTCAAAACTCTTTGAAATTTCATATTAGGGATGATTTGAATCATTGTACTTTGTGAATGTGAGGAACTCTGAATAGAAAATGAACACCATCTCAACAAAATGTTTTGTTTGGCATTCTTTACAAAAAGTTATTTTTCTTTATTACGGTTTAAAAATTCTTATTATAAATCCAATCAGATGGTACAAATGAACAAGTTAACATAATTGTGAGTGCATTTTCTTTTTTTCAACTCGTTCCCGTATCGCGTAAAAAACTAGTAAGAGCCCCGTCAATTAGCCTTTTAGCGGTGTTATTTGTAATTTTATTTTTGAGTCGCGTTTGCCGTTTGCCGATTTTCCAACAGTTGTTTTTCAAAGTATCTTTCTCTTGTTTGCTCAAAAATCGTCAATGAAACGTCAAAATCTTTCTAAACAGAACGACGCCAAAATTTTGTCTACCGATTTTGGAGAAAATCTATCTAGTCCAAGTTGTGCGGCAAGATCTAGACAGGCCTAAAAACTAAAAATTCAAAAATATTGGAGTTTTTTGACTCGCAATTAACTCGCATTTATATTGAGTGAGGTTAAGTTATATTCACGATGAAAAATCTCATTAATATTGTTGTGTCTACTTACCTCTGTAGTACGGTCTTTTGAGTTTATCATAGTTTTTGAAGATTCCATCCACTATTTGTGACACTTGTTCGGGTTCTATTTTTCTTAGGTATTCCCCCACGGTCATGTTTTCGTTTCTGAGGATGCGAAAAAAAAAAATTAGAGACCTTTAGAACGACGTCCTTGCTAGGGCCCGCAAACCAGTCAAACTGCGCGCAGTTCGAAGTCATGCGTTTTCCCTCAAACTTTTGACATTTAGCAAGGCATAACGGTCATAACGAAGTGTTGCTGGAAGAGCCGCCATATTGAATTTCATTGATTCTGAGTGTTTCTCCATGTTTGCGGGCGTGTTTCTTGCCTCGAATCCCTAGCAGTCAGCGATAAGCCTATTCAGCAAGGCATAACGAAGTGTTGCTGGAAGAGCCGCAATAGAGAATTCAATTGATGCTGAGTGTTGTCAGTCGTTTCCGGGTGTGTTTCTGGTTCTCATCCCTTTTGTTTAGAGGGATTGCGGTAAACCTGTTGCTAAAGGTCTCTATGACTAATATAAAAACGCCACTGAATGAATTTTTTAATTATTGAAAACCTAGTTCCCTGAAACTACTTGCTTAACCTTCTCTTGGTATTTCGTAGGAGTTTTTGTTTGTCTCACGAAAAAAAACCTTGAAGCTTTTTAGTAAAAAAATACTGGTAAGCTTCAGGTTTCAAAAAGGTAGATATTCGAGACTAAATCTAAAGAAAAAAGAACAGATTTATGCTAATAGTTGTGAAACTTTCCCGTCGCTACTTACTCGGTATTTCCTTGACTTTGACAACAGCCGAGAAGAAAATACAAACTCATCAACATAAGAATGAAAAGTTTTTGAAGACTTCTCCACACTTTGCAATTCATTGTGACCGCGTACGTCTGTTGACTGCCTACCCTCCTGTCTCTTTTGGCCCAAACCAATATTTGTATTATAGTTTAATAAAAACGTTACCTTTGCAGCATTAATGAGATTCAAAAATTCTAGTAATTGCCGGTTTTCAAATATTCCCAACGGGGTGGGAAATAACAAAAGACAAGGCGGCCATGTTTGATGATATAACACAAGAAATTATTTTGTTCAATTCATCCAAGATGCCGACTATGTGTAAACGAAGAATAAATAAAGCTACTACTAACTTAATCGATGTCATCAAATTTGATGAAAAGGGGCCTAATATTTTTTTGAGACGTCTTTTATTTTTTTTTAAAAAAATAAGAGATATTTGTTTCCAAGTAATTACATTGAAAAAAGGTGGATATACTAAGTTATTGGATTCTTGCAATATACGTATATAGTAATGATGAAAACTTACTAGTAAGTAAGTTTAGTTAGTACGTTTTTTTCATCTTTTCACGGTGTATAATTTACCTTTTCATCATTACTGTTTCATTAGAAACACCGACGCAGCTCACACTAGTTTTTAGCTAGTTATATCTTCAATATACATATATACATTGTTTTGACTTAACACTGTCTTCAAATTTGATGAAACGGGGTTTAATAATTTTTTTGGAAATCTTTTATTTGAAGAGATATTTGTTTAATAGTAATAGCATTGAAAAAAGTTTTTGGATTAAGTTATTAGACTGTTGATATACGTCTTTGTTTGATAAACTTTTAGCTATCAATGATCTTGCAGTTCTGTGTCCTTTTATATAACTTTACGATTATTCTTGAGAAGCACATCTAAAAAAGAAATCGAATTTGCTGGTAGCTGGAACAATATGCGAAACACCAAGACTTCAAATTATTCGAAAACGTAACCCCTCTACTCTGTGCTTTATATAAATTTTCGGCGTTTGCCCCCTTGGCATCCCATAATTCAAGATGGCCGCCGTATCAGTAAAAAGGCCCATTTTTAACGATAAGAAAGAGTCACTAAAAGTGTCTCCAAGAAACATGATAAATGTTTCATTTCTAAACCRATCATCAATACTGTGAATATGTATGAAGTGTTTGTGATGAAATCTAAGCGTTGGACTCCCCGCTGTTTCCTCGATTAATTTTAGTTTATAGGCGGCCTCCCGAAAACCTGGTTTAACTTCAACTCATCGTTCTAGTTTTATTGCCGGCCCATTTTATCCATTCACAATGCAGTTCAATAGACCTCTTTAGCTTGGGCGCTTGTTTTTCTGTTTCAGACCAGGTGTCATTCCTTTTTCATTTGCACTCAAACAAAAAAAATGACACTCAAGGGAATGACACGTGGTCGACTGAAATGGGTAAAACATTACGCTCAAACTAAAGAGGTCTTTTTTTTTTTTTTGGAAATGCAAGACAATGAATTTCATTATTCAAAGTCGGTAAAATGAGAGTAAAATTCTATTGTTTTCACATTCAAATTGAACCTATTTGAACTGTATTAGAAATTCTGGCAGAGTTTCTCTATCTCAATGGCCAGTAAAAATGAGCATTGACCGTACATGAAGTGGCCTTGATGTGCTTTATTTACAAGTGTGTACTATAAAATATATTGCTACAAGCGTAAGATAACTAAGAGGAAAAAGAACGCGAGAGATTTTGTCAACAAGAAGAGAACGATCTGGTTTGGCTTCAACTTCTTTGTGCATCATGTCTATCTTATTGGTTCCCTCATTGTTGTCTTCTGTAGTTACTTGGATGGGATTTTCATTCGTTACTTCTTGGCAAAGGTTGTTGGTAAATGCCTGCTGCGTTGAAAAGAAAAAGAATCATTCTAATAATTCCATGTTTTCGACTCTAAGTTAGAAATTTTGGTTACATATACATAATTGGACATTGGGTGGGAAAATTTTGGTGCCCAAGTAAATGAATGCAAGGTAACAGCGTGGTGTTGCTTAGCAATGTGATACTGACCTTGAAGGAAGGCATTTCACCTTGTTCCTTTTCTTTAGTGTCTTCTCGTACAGCATACACGATCACGTGTTCCATTAAGGCCAAGAAAATGAAGATGAAGGTAGTGAGAATGAATTCATCAGCCGCCTTGATGTAACTGACATGAGGCATGGCACTGTTGATGTACTGAGACAAGAACACTTCTGTTAACAAGGTAGTGATACCTAGGGACACGCGGTCACCGATCTCGTAACGATCCATCCAGAATGGCAGCCATGATACGACTGCACACAGAATGCAGGGGAAGTAGAATTGCATGATGAAGTAACCAAGGCGACGGGCTATGGTTATCGATAGTAACAGGTAACTGTATTCACCTGCGTGTTATAAAAAAAGAATTATTGACGTGTTAATGATAAAAAATTAATGGATGATAAATGCATGCACACACTCTACTGAATAGTCCCTTATCTCATTTGATGGTAAATACGTACCGCTGTGTTTTACGACTGAAACTCATCTGCACAGGCTTGGCTTTGCTTAGGAGCAAGTCAATTGCAAAATTCCGTACTTATTAGAGGATCTTCCTCCAGGTTCTCCAGTTTTCCTCCTTCCCCAAAATTCATCTCATAAATCATCATCATCATCATCACTATCACCATCATGATTATGATCATCATTATCATCATCATCATCATCATAAATTTATTTTCACTCACCACTATAGTAAACTTCAGAGCCTTCCTTCATTTCATATCTGTGTACGATGAAACCCACGACGTCTGCATAGTTCACGGAACCGTTAATATTTGTGTACTTGATCTTGTCAGTCGTGTATCTATCTATAAGGAAAAACACGGTTACAGATCAATGTCACTTTTGTGAAGGTATAGGAATTGCCTGAGAAAATTCCTGAGAAAATTCCTGAGAAAATTCCTTGAATAAAGGAATATACCTAACTACATGTCAGGTAATGAGCCCAGGACCTTGGTGAGAGACTAGTGCGATACTGCCGCTACCCCAACCTCGATTCCTAAGGATACTGTTTTTAAAGAAGTCTTAAAAGACTTACAGCTGAATAATTGAATATGAAGAGTTTGATGATCCATGGGATAATCATAGAAATGCATCGTTGACATAACAGTTACAAAAGCCCTGGAAAATAAGTACATTATATGAAAGTTGATCGAGTTCTTCTGTTGACTTCTTCCAGTCCCCCCACAGAAATCATCAGTTTCTATTCTGTGGTAGTGCACCTGTCATCGTCAGAGTATCTCTGCAACCTTTCCTGGATGGGGTGGTATTCCATCTCACGTTACCCACCTCGATCCCCATCCCACGCCCTGTAGTTGTTAGTCATCCTGCCCGATGATTCAGGAGTGAGTTAGTGTTAGAGTAACGATTTTTGCCCGTTATTTGTCCATCATAACCACCATTTTTTGTGGTAAACATATATCTTTCCTGTGCTCTGCAGGTTTTCTCACTCCGTAAAAATCACCTAACGTAACCTAATCTAGCTTGGACTACTTGAGCCGCTGATTTTGAAGACTAGACTGAGCAATCGACTCCATGTCATAAATTACTGATGTAAGTAATGACATATACATTACATGACGGGCAAGTATTTTTTAAAATACCTGTATGCGTAATCTACGGTGCCGTTAGCATATAGCATCACAGTGTTAGTTTTGGCATCGACTTCAATTTTTCTAGCATTTTGGATAAATGTATCAGGGAGCCATATCTTGTCAATTATTTCTCCGCTCAGGAACATGGCAGAATTGGCTGTTTTGTTAATTGCCAAGCGAGGATCGATCCATCTTTGAACGATATCAACACTCATCTGGAACTCCTGTCATAAGTAGAAATATATATACACATAGTAATTAATAAACGTATACCGGATCTATTGTATATTCAACTTCATTTTGTGCGTGCGACCGTGCCGTTGTATGCCGTGCAGTGGTATGCCATATAGTGCTATCGTGTTGTGCCGTGCCGTGCCGTGCCGTATCGTGGCGTGCCATGCCATACCGTGCCAYGCCGCGCCGTGCCATGCCATGCCGTGCCATGCCGTGCCGAGGTGTGCCGTGCCGAGGTGGGCCGTGCCGTGCTGTTTCAGAATATTTCTTGATAGACGAAAAGAAAAGTGACGACTCACTCACCATGTCTTCTTCAGACACGTGGTTCACGGAGATGATCAAGAATCGTACACCTATCTGCACAGGTTTGCCTACAAACATATAAAACATATAGAGATCTTGAGTACAAACACTAAGCGTGCAACCTAAATAGTACTAAATAGCGCTAAATTATGCTAGATTTCAAATGCCCATGAAAAGGCATATGTTTGTTTCAACGTTTTCCTTTGCGTTTTTGTACAGTTTAGCGAACTCGATACAGTTTACCGAGCTTACTAATTCGTACAGTTTCTTGGATATATGGTATGTACTATTATTTGTATTCTAATTATTGCACGCTTTCAGTGCTTGTACTCCATTGGTTCAKATTTATTTCCTAAAGAAATTGATGCACATTTGTATGCTGTTGTGTTATGCTGTTGCGTTATGGCGCTGGCGGAGTCCCAGAGAAAGACAAAGAATCATAATTCATGAATTAGGAGTATTCTGCCTAATTCAGTGTCTTCAGTGACCAATAAAGGGATCCAACTAGTTTCCCCTTAACAAGTAAGAAAACTTTATATAGAAAGGAATAAGGCAGAGTGCATACAATATACCCTTGAAAAAGTTAACTAACAATATCGTACAAATTAGTGCAGAGTTTTGTAGGTCTACAAACTACTGAGGTCTACTGAGCTTTCTAATTTGTGCAATTGTGCAATTTTTTGCCAAGTTTTTCACGGACATATGGTATGAACTCTTCCAAAAAACAAAACAAATATGTATTTATATAAGATCATTATTATCGTACCACCAATGAAGGGCCTCTCATATTTGTCATAATCCTTCAAGATTCGATTCAATATCGGCGTAACATTGACCGTTTCTTCCACTCTAACTCTCGCGTCTCTTGTCCCATTGTTTCTGTAGCATAAAAACCAGTATCAGACCGTCAGCAAGAACAGTTTGATTGCGGAGTTTCCGAGAGGACAGACGTAAAAACTAGATTTGTTTTCACTGACGAATACTGGGAAACTTACCGTCACGGTAAGTCTTCCAGTGTTCGTCAGTGAAAACAAATTTAGTAATATCTTATTTGAACACTTAGATGTAAAGGGCTAGCCATGCATCTACTATACTAAAATATTCATTGTGGAAATATCGCTTCCCAATTAAATCAATGAAAATTCAAAACATCTAATTTATTATAAATTTTCCGTCCTAAAACAAGTTACTAGATAAAATAGTAATAGTAAGTTTTGAGGTTTTAGACACGTAATTTCCAAAAGGCATTAAGTTCTGGCTTTGCTAGATGAAATGTTTGAACTTTTTTTGTGTATCTTCCAATAAAAGACTTTGCAGACAGTAAAATTTCACAAGACAATCGGTGTACTTCTTTCCAAGAACGATGAAGATATTAAAGCTCTAAACTAAGTGTCGCTTATTTTTAAATACGTACTTTAAAATACTTACACACTTGAACAGAGAGTCAGTTGAAAAATACCAAGATTCATCAGAAAACTATTGAGTAATGCCGACTTGATGCCCATCATCTTGTACATTTGACTTTCATTTATCTGAGAATATTAGCGTCTGACTTGCAGACAATCTGTTACCTTTTGATATAATCCGAAGTAGGTAATCGTGCCAAGTAATTAGCGAGAAAGTCTTGCTATTCGTCAGAGAAGACTCAATATAAACACACCATTTGAATATTGATCATAAATTTGCCCAGGTGTCTCAATTCATCAGAAATAAAATAAAACTAAGTCCTTAATATAAACCTTCCTCGTTCAGGAGCACCTACGTGGTTATTTTGAAAAAAAAATTTTTTCTAGCACATCAGATTAAAAAGATTTTGAGCAGACATTTAGAGACTGAAGAGTTACGAGACATAATTGTGTATTCAAGTTTTTCCCCTCTGTTTCCTCTCTGTTATCAAAATGTTTTTGGCAATTGCTTTCAGAAGTTTAAAAACCTAAAGCTCTCCATAATTTTGCCATTCTTAAAGCGCATGCTCGATTGTGAGTGCAATTATAGTTTCTTTTATTTCAAATCTCCAATACAAAATCTATCCAAAAATTTAAATCCCCTAGCAACAACCTTATAAACAAATCTACAATTCTTCGATTGTACATTCCATTTAACAAAAGATTTCTCATTTTTAATAGCATCTATGGTTAAAGGCACCAAAATGGCCGCCATGTTTTTAGTCTTTTGACTCTCTTAAGGATGCTTGACCAACCCATCAATAGAAAAAGTGACACGTACGTTTTCTGGTAAATGCGTTTGCCTAGCTCTAATCTCACACAAACTAGTCTCTTTTGCAGCCGTTCTTAGTGTCGGTCCCAAACTCCCTCCCCACTAAAGGCCGATTACTGTATGGGGCTGACACTAAGAAGGCCCACACTCGTACCCAGTCGCTTCTCTTGTCTTATTGATCTCACGCTGTGGTTGATGGGAAGGATTTAGTGAGTTCCCGGTGCATCAGGGGAAGGACGGAAGACCCAAAAGCCACCGCGCACAAAAAAAGTTCCCAAAAGCCACCGCGCGCAAAAAACCCCTGAAACAAATGACGACTGGGTACGAGTCTGAAGAAAGACCTGCAAAGAAGACTAATTTGTGAATCAGTGGTGGTACACCGGAAAGTTCATCGGAAGTACCGTGCTTCCCTGCTTGTGTGGTCTAGTGATATTTTATTTCATGATAGTAATTGCCTCCCTCCTTTATGAGCAAAACTGCTGTTATTAATACAATGAAATGACTGTGTTGCATAAGGGATTCGAAAAGAGCGAAATGAAATTTTTTTCATGACCGTTTTCCCTTTTTTATTTTACTTTTATTTTTCTCTCTTCATCTTTTTTCTTTCTTTCTTTTTTAATTTTTAATCATTATTCTTTAAATACAAGAATTTATTACCATGAATATCTTTCTTTTGTGAAAATAACAACATTCTTTTTCAAAAACAGTTAATCTTAAAATATCGGACCAGAGGAATTGTGGTTCAGTTTCAGTAAACTCGTATTTGTACGAGATATCGTAATAAGGCGACCATGACTGGTAAAATCTACAGTATATAAAATACCCCGCAAAGATGTCAAATCGTAAGGTTAAAGTCGCCCAGCACCTTTTGGCTTCAGTATGATCACCTGTCTTGATGGATGATGGCGGCAATTAGAACAACATTCAAATGGGGTTTCTTTGACATCACACAGTATAGTTAATTAACGGTTTATTAAATGGTTCCATTAATGGAAACCTGGCAAATATGCCCGCATCATATTCGATATAGTTTATTATTCACCTGTTTTAATATATTAGACCTGGTAATATAAGCTCATTATATTTACTTAGAGATATTACTCTGTGTTCTTGGCACGAAACATCCTTCAACAACGTCTAGATAAGTAGCCCGCACGTCTCAAGCATTCTAAACTCTGTAATTCTTTTTTCTTCACTTCTCAAGCTCTAACAAGCGATTAAAATAAGTAAGCTGAATCCTTCATCGACGGCTATTTTTGATAAATATTCATGTTGGCAAACAAAAAGTAGAGCCTAATTCCTCGTTTAATTATTCTTCCAATCCACCATTTATGCTAGCCCTATTTAGTATTTTTTTTATGATGTTAAGTGACTAGATGATTTAATTAGTTCCTCCAAAACAATAGAAATTTTTTTTATCCATGAGTGCTCGTGATTAGTCTTGTCCTTTTTCGTTTCTTCCTCTTGAATTTCACCTCAAAATGGAAGCGTTGATAAAGCTTTGACCTCGCAAAAAGAAAGAGTCAGCCTTCAAGTCTAGCGACGCGTAATTGAGAGAATTATCAGAATTCTACAACTCTATCCTTATATAGGAAACATAAGAAAAACTAAACTTCTAATTTCAGAAACACTTAATATTTATGGCAGGTTTTATAAAATGCTTTGGTGCCCATCTTTTTAATTAGATTTAATGCGATGGAGCCAAAACAGTTGAAGGAAAATACAAGGTAAAATTAATTTCGTTGCGAATTGTACAGATACTGTTCAAATCTCTTTATATTTGCCTTGTTGATTAAAAACACATGCGTGCTTTCAGAAGATTTCTTGCGCTGTTTATAATCTTTTCATAAAGCATTGTATGAAKTCCTTAATGCATTTTAGATCACCATATTTCAACTTCCTTTAAACAATGATATCCAATGGCTGGATGGAATTGACAACAGCTGTAGAAAACCTATTTCATGCATTATAAACCTTTTTTCCTTCTTTTTTCTCCCCTCATTTATTGTTATATCAATTCATTTTATATTGGAATATTAATTTACATAAGTAATCTAAATTATTTTCCGGATAGATTTCATAAAATACATTTTGGATCATTTTTTCCTTTCTCTCTCTCTCTCTCTCTTTTCTCATTTATTGTTATCAAATCATTTTATATTGGAATGTCACTTAACATAAGTATTTTTTCAATATTTTGCAAATAAATTTCGTAAAGCAGGTAATGTTTACACAGTTCGCGAACAGAAAAAGCTATAGTACGTGTTAACAGCTGCAGGATAGGCTTCTAGTATCACTGTCACAGTAATATTAATATCTGAATATTCACATCATCTGAAGGGATTTTAACATTACAATATCACCTTATCAGTAAACCTAATATTAAGAACTTAACTGAGACGTTTACACCTAGGTAGTTGCTTTATTTTACATTGCAGTAATATTTTCCGTAAACTATTAGATTTTATTGGCAAAGGTATCATTTTAAGTTCATTTAATAAAACATTCTCTAAAGATGCGTTGGCTAGCTACGGTGGGACCTGACTTAAATCCGTGGTTTCGATGTTAACCTTTTTCATGTCATCCCTCAATCTCCTTGTTCTCAATTATTCTAACACCATCGTCGCTTCTCACTTGACGATAATGGTTTGACGAAAGTGAAACTTGAACTGTTTTCACTTCTGATTCGGATTTCTTCCATAAAGATGAGCTTAGGCCATCGTCTTCGCGAAGTTCAATCCCATCGCTTCTCTCTACATTTTGGCCTAAATTCTGTTTCTTTCTACAGTTTTTGCAACATAGGATGTTTAGGACTAATCTTTTATAATCGTTCTTAAATTGTTTCAGGAAAGCACCATATATAATGGGGTTAATACAGCTGTGTGCGATTGTCAAAATAGCCGCTGTACTATACACATTTATTACAATCATGTTCCTTTTCAGTTGAGAAAAGGTCATCAAAAGTAATGACACACGGTAGGGCAACATGCAGACAAGAAACAAGGCAGTGATGAGAACAAGCGTTTTGATAACTGCTACATTTTCTTCTCTGTTCGTTACATTTCTTATGTTTCCCTTTGAGTCTGTTGTAAATCTCGGAGACTGTGTTCTTAGTAAAGCAATACCCATCTTTACATATGATATCATAATCAGGACGAAAGGGATCGCGAACCGTACGACGAATAAACCAACCATGTAAGCTTTCTTATGAAAGGGGTATTTCCATCGTATGTAGCATTTATTTCGCTTAGGCATAGCATTCACGATCTTCGGAAAAGATATAGCAATGCTGAGGAACCAAATTCCTAAGATCGTTAAACTTGCCATTTTGACTGTCATTTCTTGTCGAAATGGGTGGGTTATAGTGAAGCACCTCTGGATCGCCATTACGGCAAGCGTGAATATGGTTCCCCCAAGGGCAACGGTTATGATAGGCGCCATGAACTTACAAATGAAGGCTGTAGGCTTGAACGGCGCCAGACGAATGTAGATAGCAAACGGCAGAAACACTAAAAGTAAGAGCAAGTCAGATAGCGTTAAGTTCATAATGAACACATCGTTAGCCGTTAGTCGTCGTCGTCTTCTTGTAGCAATGGAACACAAGACCAGTCCATTGCCGATGACTCCAATAACAAGTGTTACAAGATATATGTAGATTTCCATTTCGTGTGATATGAGCCTATAAGGCGTAGATGGTCTTTGCATGACTCGATGGGTACTGTTATTCATTCTAGTCTTCTTGACAAGCTTTTCCTTAATCGAAAACCCCTTTTGCTGCGGATACGTTCGCAGAGCAGTTACCTCAATAGAAATGGTATAGACTCACAGCTTGGAATGAGATTTTATATAGAAACATCAGTGATATCAATGACATATGGTCGTGAATTTGCATCTAATGAATTTATGTATCTAGAATGACTGAGCAATTGGTTTCAGCTCTGCAGGCGTTAGGCCCAGGCTAATTATATTTGGTAATGATTGTCTTGGGCGCGCGCCTCAAATTACCAGGAGACTTTAAGTCTAAACCATTGATATAAGATTGAGAATCCAAAGGATAAGCAGCCCTTTGTTTACAATTGACGAATCTCAAGAAAAAGCAATTACAAGCTAGATTTGCAGGCTTAAGGAATTAGATGTACATATTTAGAGAGCTGTAAGTTGTGGCACTTTAGAGAGAGACTGCCGGGGACTAGTGAAAACAATCTTCGATCTTTATATAAAGCCTTTGTTCAGAGGACTCGATCTGATGTCGCAGCCTATTTAATAATAGTTGTCAATTTATGCCATCTTCTAACGTTGAACACATTTGAACGTGTTTGAATTCAGGCTAAAGATTTGTTCATCTGTTTTGGACTATGCGGTGACGATATCAAGGCAAAAAAGTCATTCTTGGTCCGACGCTAGCTTAGAGCGATTCTAAGATTGATCCCAGTAGCTAAAACCTATTTGGAACATCAATTACTAAAAAAAGCTACAGGATAAATTCGAAAACCACTAAAATGAATCTGGTAAGATATTCCCTGACTACTGATGATCAACCAAAGAATAGCCTTAGGCTTGCTCAACGTTGTTATGAAAACATGTATTGTAAAACCTTTAGGTTTTTTTTCTTTTGCTTTAATTTTCGCTTGGTTTTTAAATGAATTTTCTTTTTTTCGTATAACAACTCGTGATTCTACTACGACTAAAGGAAATGAATGTCTTTATACGTCTATTAAAAGAAGGAATACAAAAATCATTAATATACATATACATATATATATTCTTTTCATCTTGAACAGTCCTTATTGTCAATAGATCGGTTCATTCATTGAGTGTTTTTTTGGTGACATCCATATGAGTACATGTTTTTTTATTTTATTTTGGTTTATATTTTAAGGTGTTTTTGTGTGAACTGCGACATTTCGGTATAAACTGACGCCAATAATAAAAGGTTTGAAACACGCAATGTTATGATCTTTTCTAGGACTTGGTTATATCATTACTAACATGCTTAAACACTTAAGATTAGATCTCCTTCTGTCGCCGTCATTTCGCCAAGATTTGTTGACGTTTTGTTAAGCGAATTTTCTAGCTCGTGATTGTGTGGGAAATCGCTTTCCTTTCGTGGATTTATACTTCCTGGATATTCTAGCTTTTATTGCTCTTTGCAATTCGATATTCTACTTCTGTTTAGAATCGCTTTAGCCACAGGTGATAAATATGGGGGAAGCACAGTGGAGTGACGCGTAATGTTTCATACATTAACGTCAGAAATAGAATATAGAATCCTCAAATATTCTAATCATAAACAACTAAAAATATCGATTCTCTAACAATCTAAGGTGTCATGTTTAACTGGCTTACCACAAAAACACTAGAGAACTAGTGTCAAAATAAATATGAATACCAAATATATAAAACAAAAACCTAAGCCTATTCAGTAGAATCGTGATTTCAGTCGATGCATTTTTGATATTAATAGCATAAAACAAAAACACCTTTAGCCAGTTGCGACATTATGTTTATGTAAATCTTTATTCGTAAAGGTTAAAGTTCTATATTTTGACTTCGTTGTAGTAGTAAGTAATACGTAGATGGTGGCTGTATTTGAATGTATATAGCAGATGGGAATTATTTCTATTAGTCAATCCAATCATTGGTTTGTTCAGTTCACCCCACGAATACTCATGCAAGATTCCATTAATTGTTCTGACCGATTGGTCTTGGACAGTTGGTGGTAATCTTGAGCACAATCACTTTGATTATAATTTATATTTTTTTCCGTAGCTGTCGGGCATTTTTCATTTCCCTTAATATCATGTGTATCAATGTCATTGTGTGTTCAGTGCTTCAGTAAAAACGAATATGTTAAAATATTACAAAATCGATCGGCTAACATTAACTTCCTTGTTTGCTTGGCGCTATAGAATTTTTGTTTGTTTTAATAGTAGTCCGACTCTCCTGAGCTTCGAGAGTTTTCTCGGGGTTCTCCGGTTTTCCTCCCTCCACAGAAATCAACTTCCAAATTCTAATTTGATCTATAGCGATTGCCTTGTAAAATGGGTCTTTCGCCTGTAAGACTTTCCATCCACCTCAGAGTAAAGTTTAAATTAATAAAATCTATAACAAACCTGACCTGCTTATAACCTTATTCATCTTTTTGTCTTTCTAGTTTTTCTTTTAATATAATGAGAAACGTCGTCTACTTTTGTACATATATATTTTTATTTTTTACAATTTTAATTAAGAACTAAAAATTGCAGTTTTTTATAATGAAATTAAGAGGACATTTTTTTTCAATAGCGAGCAATAATGGCGAAAAGCGTATGAGTTTTGATCCCAATTTTCGTTTTGGGTTAACACTCAAAACCTTTTTTAAACAATTAGAAACTGATGTACTATGATAAAATGCTTGTTTGAAGTGGTATTTTCAATTGTACAAAGATGTTTTGCTGCATTTGTGTTAGAATGTTGCTTTGTCAGGCTTTTTTATAGAAAATATATGGGAAATAAGCAAATGAAGGCCTAAACCTCATTTTCGATTCAAATTTTTGCTTTGGGTTTAACACTTTGATTCCACTTTCATCGGTCATCTCCACTTCCAAACAAGTTAAACTTTCTGAATGAATACCAAGATTTTAGCCTTATACAACAGCCTTTCTTCAAGAAAATGGTTTTTGGCGCTCACCGCTTGAATACGAAAAGAATTCCCTCTTAATATCAAAGAATCTTCTTATTCGTAAACTTTTTGTCCCATTAATTATTTAATACCTGAAGATAAGAGAATTCTGAAATCAGAGACGTTCAAAGAAGTCAACAAACACAACGGCTTCCTACAAAGAAATTCCGAGTAATTCATGAGCTTACATTCGCGCAAATCCTGTTAGGATATCTGATTCTATTTAGTATCAGAACTGAATTTATTTTAACAACTTCCTTTTATTCAAATGAATATTAATAAAAAAGTAGGACTTTTTAATGATGATAAGGACGACAGATGAAATCAGTCTCCCAACGCGTGGGAAATGGATAAATAAATCAGTTTATAAGATTATAAGACTGAATTATGGCCAAGGTTAAATGTAACATCTGTATCAATAATACCTTTTTACATTTAATTATTAGTATTAATCAAAGATCAAGTGTCTTGGCTACTAGTTGTCGTGTTATCTTGAATTGTCTGCATAGCTATTAATAACGTCCATGGTTGAACGTGGAAACAGTTCAACAAGATATCAAGATAGAGTCCACGTCTGCATTCATCAGTCTTGGAAATCACTCTAAATCCAAATTTACTTGAAAGCTTTTTATGTGATTTTCCATGTTGAGATTTTCGTTTCTATTGTTTTAGCGTTGCGAGATCGAGAAGTTCCGTTTGCAACAACCACCAAAATATCGTCACCTTATTTCAACAAAAGTGATTGCCATGATCATCATTATCACGATCATCATCCCCATCACCATCCCCATCACTGCTATCCTCATCGCGATCATCATCATCCCCATCACTGCTATCATCATCGCCATCATCATCCCCATCACTGCTATCATCATCGCCATCATCATCCCCATCACTGCTATCCTCATCGCCATCACCATCCCCATCACTGATATACTCATCGCCATCATCATCCCTATCACTGCTATTATCATCGCCATCATCATCCCCATCACTGCTATCATCATCACTGTCCCCTTTCGTCATCATCCACTACAAGTCCTTTAATCCGCCACTTGCCACATTTTCCCCAAAGGCTCAGCAAGGGCGGATCCAGGAAGGGGGGGGGGGGGTAAAGTAGATCTGAAACCCCCCTTCAGCAGAAAAACAAAACAAAACTGAAGAACTAGATGCCCTTTTAAATTGTTTTCCGTTGTGTTGACGGAAGAAACTCAATTAGCCCCCTCCCCCCCTTCCCAAAACTCAATTAGCCCCCTCCCTAAAATTTTGGCTGGATCCGCCCTTGCTCAGGGGTTTCATATTTTCCACACATACAAAAATAAATATTACAAAGATGAGACTATGATTAATGTTAAGTGGAGGGTGCAAAAGGCATAACCCAAAAGGGTTGAATATGTTAGTATTAAAAGGAAAATGTGCCGATACAATCTTCTCTTTCCTTTGCACATTAGTCGGGTCTAGATCAGGTAGGCCAAGATAAACACGAGAGACGCGAAGTTAACGTCTTCACATCAACGAGTGGTATCGGTTATGAGCAAAAACGTCCTGGAAGATAATATCTTAGTTCGTGCAAAAAATGTGATTTTGTTGTTAATGGAGCGCAAATCCATTAGCTAGTTATTAATGTTCTATTATACTTGTAGATATAGATAATATACGTACGTCCACAATATATGATACTAGCAGGAAACATTAGCAACGGTTAAGCACTTGCTGAAAACAAGCATTAATATCAGAAATACGTCAAAGCACTTTGTTATAGTTTAGTTTGTTAATCACGATAGGAGACATGGTAGGTAAAAAGTGAGTCAAATAGACATCAAGGATTTTTTCATCCGTTTAATTATCATTCTTCGCTACATGAAGCTATTTTTGAAATCCAGTCTCTAATTGTCCTCAGCATGATTAAGGCATGGCTCTCAGATGAAAAACTGTTTGGCTATATCATAGCCAGTTTTCTACGAATCTTACCCAAACTTGGCAAGTTAATGTCTTTTGTGAAAAGAAGGAACCTTAGAGCCTTGGTTACCATGGAAACTAAGTCACGTGACCACAAGGCCGCCATCTTGGATTTTTAAACAAATCGTTTGTAGTCGTATTGAAACTACTTCAAAAGTCCTGAAAATCCATATTCCTTTTTATATTTGTAATACCTATATGGATCTAATTGGATATCTTGGAAATTATATTAAGTTTAATTT